AAATGACTCCTCTCTCGTTCTTGTTGCACTTGCCACCTCTGGACATCTTTTTACACTCGTGTTTCACTCCCAACACCTGAAAACATATTAGCACAATGTCACCAATAGCCTTTGATGGCATTTTTCATTTACCTTTCTAAATTTTTTTTTGATAATTTATGGGTGTGGTTTTGATACTCCTACTTAAATTTGTACATAAGACACACCTGGCGTTCTTTTCTTGCATTGGAGAAATCCATTCTAGGCTGATGATGGTACTACATTGGCAGCTGAGAATTGACGGTGCCAACCATGTATTGGGTAGGGAGGTGCAGGAAGTGTCTTCTTCATCTTAACAACTGGGGAAGATAGAGAAATATATTGCTGCTACATTAATATACCAGTACAAACAATGAAATGGTACTTGAATTTAAGTTAAAAAGATAGATGTAAATTTGTTGACGTTATAATTGCCCATAATAACGTTAAATTTGTTGACGTGATATTATATATATATATATACTATATAAGAAGGAAGCATTTTACTATTACGATGGGTTATTTCATGTGTTTGCTCACTATTTTTTGCCAGTTAAATAATATACTTACACTGTCAATGGCAAATAGTGTCGCAGCTACATGGGAGCATGTCTCCCAAGCCCTGGCCATGCAGTTACAGTGGCGCATACAACCATCCATCCTTCTCCACAAATCACCCACACTTGCACGGTGCTCCGAAAGCCTTTTGGGAATGCAGCACCTAGAGAATAAAATGCATCAAGGGATAAACTAGTACTGCAGAATCTTTGTAATAGCTGGTAATGATGAAAGAAACATGTTCTATATACTAGTAATAGTATTCACGCTGCTCTGCCCCAAGGAAAAGTGCTCTGTTCTGTACTGTTACATGGGTTGCTGCCCAATGCACTCAACAGTCTGGGAGGAACTAAGTAAAGTAAATTATCATGCAGTTGACAGTGATTTCAAATGGTAAATATGTACATCAAAGCAACTCACCTTTTGACCAGAATGACAACTTGCTCCTTTACAGAAACCAGGAGCTCTCTGACCCAACCGAGATGAAAATATTGGAAGCATCCAAGCTCTTGTACGCCTTTATCAGCACTGCCAGAAAATCACCGGGTGTATTTATGAGGTAGTGATAAAGATGTCTGGTACTCTACATCTGGCAGCTCGTTTTACTCTCACAATCCAGACAGATTTACACTCTGATCTACATATCGCATAAGGATCAGCATCCACACAACCAATCTTCACTACATACCGCTGTTTAGCCACAGAATCTAGTTTGTTTGCATAAGGAGATAGCATTATTTACGCAGCAACTTCAATGGTGATCAAGCTGTAGACTGGCTCTGGACGTCGACATGGTCTCGGACGGAGTGAGTGAGTGACGGTGCGACCGGCTACCAGTCTAAGTCAGCTAAGCAGAATGAGGTGATCACCAATATGCGCGGAAAACAATAGAACATGATGCTATGACGTCACTGTGACCAGGTCTATATATCGGGCCGCATATATTACTTTATAAGTGCCAACCTCAAGCTGCGAGGCTGGCTTTCCGATGATTGAGTAGACCACAGCCGGCAGCCCCATTACTGGGTCTGCGTACCTGGCTCGGACTACGCTCTCCCACCTCTGCCGATTTGCGTTGTCAGATTGTCACAGTGCGTGTTCCATGCAGGTGAAATTATGTTGCCAGAAGCAGCATTGTTTAATGGCGTTTTAAGCGTAAAACTAATTATTGTGCTACTATTATATTACGCCAAGGAATAGCAGACATGCGGCCTCCCAACTAAAAACCGAATAGTACCTAACCCTAACCCTAACGCCCTAATTCTACCCTAACCTGAATTGTAGTAATTCTAACCCGTAACATAAACTCTAACCTAGATTATATTGATATAATATTAGAATATTTATTTATAATTGATGTAAATGACATGGTTTTATTAGCGGACCCATGTTCTATCACTTTCGAACCACTACTCTACATATAGCCCCTGCCCCCCCTCACTCGCTTCGCTCGCTCGGGCTTGGTCGCTCCGCTCTCTCGCCGTATCTTCCCCCACATTTCACTACATATTGCTCATTTGGTGCCCCCTCTTTTTGAAATTCTTGGATCCACCTCTGATGCACGCTATCATGCCCTGGTAGCGGCCACAACATAAGAATATATTAAGTTGTTAACCTAATGGTAAATATAAACATCCAAAGAAAATGTTCTGTCTTCATTCACATTTGTCAACCAATGAAAATCACTTCCGGTTACTTCGGCTATTCCCGATGTTCAACAGGAAACATGGTAGGTAGTCCGCGCCATCTATTATTATTTCGAATTATTATTTCCGAGTGAACCCGAGGCTACCGGAAGTGAATTTCATTGGTCGATCGAAAAATCTGTCCAATATGGTCAAAAACATCGAAGTTACTCTTACTAGGATGAATTATTGCATGAAAACAAAGTTCTGAAACGGAGATAAAGTCTTCGGAAAACGGTATTAACAAACAGAGGGTCTGTACTTGATATTTTGGGTCGGATATACCCCCGTCTCGCCCTCAGTGCTACTCGATTCACCTATCCAATGCCCACAACAAAAATTGCAACAATTTTTACAAGGGTGACTGTACAAACATTTTTCAAGAATGAAAATTTCAATATTGGCAATAACTTAAAAAAAGCAATTGCAGTAGTTACCACCAAGTGATTTGCAGAAAAAAATGCTCCATAGTTTTTCACTAATGATAACAATTAACATGTATAGCCCAGTCGGGTAACTACTCTGTTCTTATTTCAGGACCTCATTATTTTCCCTGATGACTGTGAGTTTAGGCATGTGTCACAGTGTACAACTGGTCGTGTGTACGTCCTCAGGTTCAAGAACTCTAGCCGAAAATTGTTCTTTTGGCTACAGGTGCGTGTTCCTGGTTAGAAATTGCCTTTTTTCAGGCAGAAAGTATTTTTTGTCATAGAAAAATGCATTCAAAGATTAGCTGTTGACGTTGAGAGCAGGCAGCAAATACACCATAGTAGGTGGCAAAATTGCTGCTTGCTTTCCTAAATTTTCAACCCTGGTGATTTTTTTTTCATGTCTAGCCCCTTGTGCAATACATAACATATTATGTTGTTAGCACATGCCTTAGTTCTTCAACATTCTTACTTGCATAAAAAGTGAATCTTCTATTATCCCGATTGAGTCTTAAGTAGAAGTCTTTCAATCTGGTGGCTCCAATAACCTGTAACCTAATCTAATTCAATTTTGACCAATCAGGGTACATTGCTTTATGTTGTGCAAACAATTAATGTAGTAACACACACCATCATGTAAGAGAAGCACCATGGCACTGTCACTTCTTGGTACTGTTGGTCTGGTGTTGCATAAGAATTTGGCTTAGATCAGCTTAGCATTGATTCCAATCCTATATTTGCCCCAACAATGGCTGTCATTGAAATTCTCAGAAGACTCATTTATGGCATTAATTTTCTTACATGAAGGCCTGGTTGAGTACATCGATCTGTAATGCCATTAGACCTGTTTCTAGTTTGTTTCTCATGTAAAATGGTCACAGAAACACATCTAATTCTAACCAGCAGCTGTAATAGCACAATAGCAGACGTGCTAATTGATGGTTATTTTCATATTGCAGGAACCTAAAGCTGACAAAGATGAGGAAAACTGCAAGAAGCTCAATGACTTCATCAACAATCCACCATCTGGTTCCAGTCGCAGCGGTGCTGGCTTTGGTTCTGAACTTGGCTCTGCACTCGGTATAAGAATTCATCATCACTTGGCTATGTATACACCTGGGATATAAGTTCTAATCCATACCAGTCTGTAAAACTTGGGATTTATCATGCATTAAGGCTTAGGCATGCTTGGAGGCCGTTTATAAAATCTCTTGTGTTGACGCAGTTTTTCACGTCGCATGGTACAAGTCTTGCTGTCTACCCCAAGTTGAAATCACTAACTTTTCTTGAAAGATATATGTGCTGAATTTATATGTTTCTGATACTATGATACTAGTTGGGTACCCAGCAGACTGATATTCACACATTTTCAAGGAAAGCAGAAGAAATACTAAGTACTGCAATAAATACAATGATACTACAATCAGTAAACGGAAATACCGCTTTGGGATGCGCAGTATTAATTAGTCGTTTGGTAATTTTTAGCGTGTATGAAAATGTTTTGTGGCAGTTTGACGCTTGAGCATGTCATGTGAAGTTGGGCATGAGAGGAACTTTGCCCACCATGTGCTACAGGATTAAACGATAGAATAGTATGTAGAACAGAGTTTCATAGTGTAGACAAACGTTTGTTTTTGTTTCCGATCTCACGAAAATTGGGTGTTTCACAGACAGAGCATGAGGTACCGTATATGATCGCGTAATAACCGCGGGCGCCTATAAGCCGCACTTCAATTTGAATCGGGTAACCAAGTATTGCGCCTAGTATATTTCCCCTCACGGTATGGCGCACTTATAAACCGCAGAGCAAATACAGGGTTGAAATCTGAGGCCAAATTTGCGGTTATTACGCGAGTACATACGGTAGTTTAGGAAGAGTTTGCTGCGCCACATAGAAACATGTATACTGTATTTGGAGTATAGTTGAATTCATTGTGTACGACGTTTTGACCATTTCACACGTATTTAAGCATGTTTATTATAATATAAAATACAGCCTATAATGCCGCAACAAACGTGCTAACTGGTTACAGTATATGCTTGCTACTGCAAACACGCTATCGAGCACTGTTGTCACTGTGGCAATAACCGGTGGGAGCCAGTTGTGACAAATCCATTGGGTGATTGGCCAATTCTGTTATTCCTTGTTTACCAAAATTCTGATACTATATATGAAAATTTGTTTGGCCTAAAACACCCCCCAGTTGCACGGCTAGTCTCTGTTTCACATACAGCGGGAATTGGGCCGGTAGTTTAGGAGTCTGGGATGCCCCACACAGACATTCTTCTTATATTATAGGTTCAACCAATGCATATCAAACTGTATACATTATGAATTGCTTACCCTTATGCTCTTTCATGTTGAAACAACACATCCAGTTTTACATCCAACAGTTGGCCGCCATAGAGTATACTAATATGCCGAACCATAATAATAGTGTGGAATGAGCTTGTCCCGTGCGTGGTCTGCAGTGATTTTATTGCAGTTGTTGTGTTGTTGCAGGCGACAATGACTTGCAGAGCTTCCTGGGTGGCATGAGTCAGCAGCAACTAATGCAGCTCCTTGGTAATTGTCATGGCTTGCATGATAATAATTATTATCAAATGTTGTGTGTAAATGAATGTAGTCGTGGAAATATGCTTACACATTTATGAGTGTAAGGGTTTGTAGTGGTGACCTTCAGCATTCAGAGAGGACTCTTGTACATTAAAATCAAATCTAAATGCAGTTGCCTTTAGTTAGGATATGACTGGTAGAGATTAGAATCATTTTCTTATTGACTAAATATTAAAAAACATTATTTCCTTATGCATAAATGTTTCAAGTAGTTCTAATTTAAATTGCCAGAGATGTAATACATTGTATCTGAATTTTGTGTGTACCTTGATCAGTAACATAATACTTTTCCAATGGTTAATTTAGACATGTTAGTTCTCATTGTTGAACATTATGGTGATCGTTTTGACCACTGCCCTCATGTATATGTCTCACATGTTTCAGGCGGAATGGGAGGTCTTGGGGCCTTGACCGGTCCAGGCAGCGGAAGTGGGAGCAGTGGCCGGCAGAGCTCGGCCACTTCCCAGTCATCTACCACTACTGCTTCTACCACAGCAGCTACGACTGCTGCTCCCACTACTTCTACAACGGCAAGCACAGCAGCACAAGAAACAACAGCAGCGGCCTCTACAACCAATGACACCACCACCACCACCGCATCCAACTCAGCGTCAGCCACTGCTACGGTGGTCACCACGACCACGACCACATCTTCATCGTCATCATCTTCAGCCGAGGCCGCGCCAATCCAGTTGAGTGACCTGCAGAACATTCTTGCAGGCATACAAGGTAATGCAGGGTGAGGCTAGTGTGTGTAATTTTTATTAAAAAAAAGGAACAAATAATGGAAAAGACAAAATTATTTTGACAAGTAGGCTAGCTCTGAGACACCTGTTGGCGGTGTTAGGCAGCGATTTAGCTGCACTCGTAGCCGTGGCGCGGGGCATAGCCAGCGGTCGGAGATTGTTACTAGTTTCACACATGGAAGTACGCGCGTCTGCGAGTCGCAAATCCCTGCCGAACCTAGTCAACAGTTGTCTCCGAGCGAGCTGCCTCTTGTTCGCTTCAATCGGGCGGGAACGATGGCCAATTAATCTTGTCAATGACTGAAACCATATCTGACGTTCGAAGCTATAACTATATAATAAGAAGCATCGATACAAATTAAAGTAAAGTGTGAGGGCAAGTTGGATGTACAAGACTAGTTCTGATGTCATTTTTATTGGGTTTGACGTAATAAATCGTAGGTAAATTAGTGCATGAAAATGTTGAATTTCTTGTGTTTTGAGCGAGTCATACTCCTCTCTATATTATACACTCCTGATCATAGTATATTGTAATTTTTTTTTTGAAAAATTACAAATTTGTAAAAACTGATAATATAGCTTGATGGTTGTTGTGGTTAAGTCTGTGTTATCTATATAATTTTAAGTCATTCCATTCTTATTAATAGGAAAAACTAATTTCATTTATAATTATCTTTACTTGTATTTACAATTTGGTTCTTTTAATGGATATAGCTCATGTGTGAAAATTTGAGCATATTTCCATTGTGTAGGATGGCAGTTACATTGGTGCGATGTCAGTCTTAATTGACATTTGTTTAATAGCTACTAAACTTGTAATTAAAACAATATATTAGTCAACATATCACCTACAATTTATTTTATTAATGCCGTTTTTATTATTTTTCAGTTCCCCTGATGCCAGAGAGAACAAGTAAGTCTTGGCAGGGCTCATTTTTATATACAGATATAGTATTTGTGGTTAATTGGCCTTAAGTACTTGCTACTGGCTGACAAAAAAACAATTAACAATGAATGTCAGAAATTGCAATCTTTTTTATGTGTGGTGTGAATCATATCAATAAATATTACCAACTAGGAGTAATGAGGTCTCTTCGAGCATAGTAAGCATTTTAATACTGTACTGTTAATGTTCTCCTTGGTAGTGCCAAGATAAATGATGTCATTTTATTTCTGTCAAAGATTTTGCACTAAAGTGAGATTGCTTAATTCATATAAATTCATTTATTTACTTTATTGTGGTTTGGACAGATGTAGATCTGAGCTCTACCATGACTGCAGAATCAATGGGTCTCATCCTGAGTGACCCAGGATTTCAGAGACAGCTCATGCCACTGATGCCACATGGTTCTGAACTTCCACAAACCATTGATGAACTTCGTCGTACCATCCAGTCTCCACAATTTCAGCAGGTAAATTTTTAGTTTGTCTGACATTACCTCATCATCTGAACTCATAATATACAGGTAATAAAATGGGAGAGCATCTGTTAAAGTGTCCATCTATCTTTCAGCAATAGTTTAGCAAAGTTGTAGTCCTGTGGCACAAGTTCAGTGTATTCTGAGACTAAAAAGATTAAGTTGGGGAAAAAAAGTAAAGAAAAATAAGTCTTCTGGTGGCGATGTGGGTGGCATCGCAGCTGGCCAAGCAATGCTCATGCAAACTAATGATTGCAAGATTCAAATTATTGTCCCAAACTATCAAAGCTGCCGGACTAGCGAATGCTGTGTTAGTGAGGTCTAACGTGTAAAAGCGACTTGAGGCATGCCGCAAAAATGAGGGAAATAATGATATGCGGTACTCGTCACTAATTACATTATTTTGCAATTCTTCATCCTTAAAGTCATTGGTTGGGTGTCTGATCTGAAAGTGAACTAGATGTATTGCTGCTATAAAAAAATACTTGTGGTGTGCTTATGATTGTTGCATTGTTCCATTTCCTTTTATGTGAATTAAAACTGAACATGCATTGGAAGTGGTAATGGTAAAACAACAGCGTACATTTTGAACGGTTTATTTTAATGTTTACTTTTCAGGCTCTGAGTACATTTAGTGTTGCTCTGCAATCTGGACAGTTGGGACCACTGATGTCTCAGTTTCAGTTAGGTGAATCAGTTACTACTGCTGCTGCTCAGGGAGGTAGGTTATATTTTAAAAGTATTACAGCCGTTCACTAATGTAAATACCAACTATTTCACGGTTTATTATTACACATCATAATTATGGCGTATATAAGATACGCGTGATGTTTTGAAATTTCTCCATGACTTACATTCATGGTACATTTGTGTTTGCATTTCATGTGTAGATGTCGAGGCATTTGTACGAGCCCTGCAAGCTACACAGGGAGGAGTTGGCTCCAAGGAAGATAAAAGTGAGGAAAAAAAGGAATCGGACTCTTCTAAAAAGAAGGATGATGACTCTGATGATGAAATGGCATTGGATTAAATTCCATGGTGTCATGTATAACTGTCTAAGAGAATATGTAATCAGTCTTATTTCAAGTTTTCTTTTAATGAAGCAACAGCAATGTATTCTGTTTCAACTTGCCAAAATTGTGGCTATACATATGCATGTTTTCACATGTTGAGAGGGCAAAACTGAGCTATAGGATTCTGTGCTTAGTCTTCCCGAATGTCATAGTTTTTACTGGATATTTATCTGTTGGCCTTTTCAATGTAATGCCATGCATTGTGCTTCATGTTTTGGCTTTGTTCGTAATAACTATGTCAAAGAGTCTATCTAAGGATTGGTATCATTGTTTCTAGTTCCAGTTCTATAACATCGAAATAAGCTCAAGTAAATCTCTTTCCTTCAGTTTGCACTATTCACTCTTAAAACATTAGTTTCAAAGTAGTTAGTGTTATCTCGATATGCTCCAAGTAATTTTAATGATACTCATCTCTCATGTCAGGATGAATTGATTTAAAAGCAAAAAGTGTTTAGGAATAGTGCATAATGGAATGTGTAAGGATGCATGCAAGTCAAGGCAGTATATTTTCTTGTTTTAATTGATTTATGCATCCATAGCAGTTGCGCTATAGGCAACTGTTTTTGGTGCGTGATTGGTGTGTTGATATCTGATGTTTGCCACTGCTAAATTAAGTATATTCACGAGTTTACCTATATTAAGAAATAAAAACTCTTAAGACTGTTTAAAGAGATGTATATGAATGTTTATTGTATCACTATTTGTTACAGCACCAGCTATATGCTTATTATCTGGTATTTTTGGTGAGACCCAGTGTACATGAAGTCTAGTGGTTTGGCATGCCCACGTTTCACTTCAAAGGGTGAGAGTCCAAACCCTGACTGAAGCGGCCAGTGAATTCGCTCAGGGTGTAGAAGCCAGGCTTCCATGGTTGGGGACTGCATTCTGTCTAGACTGACCCTATAAAGTGGTGGCTTATCCCCTGAGATTGGGTTAAAAATTAAGCTCCATAAGCAACGTCACTGACAGGGCCGGGCCACCTTTAGTGTCACGGCAGAGCGGGCATGGCTTAATCCTCGAGGCATAGGTGGTGAAATACACCAACTTCCTAACCATGCAACTACTTATTTAAAGTAGTGTGGCTAACTGCTGGAAACGATCTAGATCCAGGGCTTACGACCCATCTTTGATTTTTAGTAGTGTTTTTTTGGTACCGAGCATATGACGCAGCAAACATGACAGTATTGGGCCAATTGCTGGCCAGTACTGGCTGCACCAGTCGTCATTACCGAATGCCAGTACTGACGGGCGGTACGTCTTGCACAGGCGGCGGCGTCACTGGGCAGTAGCCGCGTGCCCAAGGGCAGCCGCATTACTGGGCCCAGTATGGCAGCTATACTGGCCTGTATTCGGCGCGGTACGTCATAACGGTAACATAGCCCCAGTGTTGGGCTTTTCTGTACTGGGGCCATACTGGTCCGCGTACAGGGTCAGAAGCGGCCGCAGTATTGTGCCAGCAGCGTGCCCAGTGTCCTAATTAAATATATATTCGAGCAGCATTATAATTATAATAATAGGAGCAGTGCTATATATATAATGACCAGAACAAGCCCATGATACAATAATCATAATTCAGTTTATACACAATGTACTGTTACATTTCCGATTTGTAGGAGTATTTCTATGAAAAATGTATAAGACTAGAAATATAGGAGTAATCAGAAAAAATACGTAATAAATGATCATCAACGTAACACTATATATTATTAGTATATACATATATAGTGTACTGTAGAAAATACTGAAATGTAACTAATTTCTAATTAAAGATAAGCAATATACGTCAGATAATATCGACATATCAATAAAATAATATCACATATGCATCATTACATATCCAAATAAAATAATGTCTAGAAAATTATACACATATAGGACTAGTAGCAAAAGATATAAGGCATATAATATAAGAAACATAGCAAATAAATAGTTAATATAATGTTAAAATATAAATGTCGGGATCGCTGTAATGCCACGATAATAATATGTAGACTTGCAATAATGTTAGCAGATTTCAAATGTAGCAAAATATTACACATCAAATAAAAAAGAATACTGACACATATCTATATACTCGTATAGGCACATGATAAGCACTAGTACAACATATATTATATGGCATAATAAAAGATAACATAGCAAAAGAAATAGTACATAATGTAAAATAACAGTAACACTCGCCATCCAAGTCGAACCACTTGCTGAGGACGCAGCAATATTTGTGCGACAGAGCGATGACGACTTATGCGAGTTTTTACTGTATGTAACTTGCGTGTCTGTCTATATGCTGCTTGAAATGTAGCAAAATAAAACCCAGTGATAAAATAGCACATATGAATACTCCGACTTATACACACACTTCCCCGCCGCACACTACCCATACAGCAGTATGCCCAATCACGCAATTCCTGCGACGATCCATATGCAATTACTCGCATATGATGCATCGACGAGTCTTTTTATTTCGCCTTCATCATTTCCCTGCTTCTTCCTTACCACAATTCCTGAATCCATCGCCCTGCAATTCCTTAACCAAGATCATAATTTCTTTTTGTGGCTGGCGGCCTCTGTTGTCGTTTCGCAGATATTTGCGGGTCTTCACAATGTGGCCCCTAAATATGCCAGAATAATTCAGATGTATGAAAATGAGTACAAAAATGACAATTGAGACTTATTCATTGTATCTACTGACAAGTACATGAGACAATATCAAATTCAATTTGAAAATGTAAAGGGGAAAAAAAGTCAGAATTCCCGGCATATGCACAACCTCAAATCGAGGACTTATAGAAATTAAATTCCGTTCATATTTAATAAGATATAGTATCTTATTTGTACTTAATCATATATGTTCAAATACTCGCCTATGTTGACACCATATTCAAAATACAATACAAGGATAGAATAAGCATTTATGTACTTTTTCTGCCAGACATGAACCTGATAATGATATTTGCTATGCCAAACAGGGAGCATAATGCTTTTCAGCGTTCTTTCTAGATTGGTGGTATTTCTGATGTGGGGCGAATGAACTGCTATTGCCCTATATAAATATACCGTTTACCCCTCGCCTTATATCATGATGATGAAAAAATATAGAAATTGGGCTCACCAAACGTATTTCTTTCAGTGCTGGTCTGCCTGAAGTAAGGAGTTCAAGCTCCTGCCACCTGCTCATAGTTGCAATGGGCAGGAAAGGAGCATGCGGCCCGTAGACTCCAGATGAAGTGCACAGCCACCATCCAGTTTTTAGGCAGCTTGCTGATATATACTTTCTTTGACGTTGGCTTGTTTCAGCTCGTTGCCATACCATTCGATGGTAACCTGCATCGCTGGCAGCTGCGGTCACCATCTCTTTCTCAAAGGCTGAAAATAAGCAGATGTTTACGAGAGCTGTATATATAGATCTATAATAGGATGAATGGAACTACATGGCAGCAGCAGCAGCAAATATAAGGCGATAATTGAATCATTATTAATAATATTATTTATTATATTAGAATTAAGGGGAAGCAATTTGTTCCATACTTACATGTCAGAACGGGAACATTTGTTCGGCGAGGAGTGAATAATTCCTCTTCTGGGGTTGGTGGTGGGCTCGGCGCTCTCCTTAACCCACTTGGTTTTGGAAATGTTCGTAATTGATCCCCTGAAAGACAAGAAAAATGTCACTTCTTAAGACGTGTAACATGTTTTTAAACAATCAGGCTAATCATGTAAATAAAAATAGGAATTTAACCTAAGAAAAAGACTAAATTATTGCACACAATACACTTATGGCTATGTTTGCTCTATCATTCAATTAGAGAAAGTACACCAAGAAAAAACGCAACCATCACAATAGTAATGCAGTCATGCAATGTTTACGTTTAGCATGGCAATAGACGCCGCACATTGTTCTTACCATATCTGGAATAGAAGTGCAAGGCTCTCTTGGCGACATGTTCAGCGTCTCCTCATCGCGTCTAACATCCACATCGCGTGTGTTTCACCGTTTACACCTACCACAAAAAGTAATCTGTTCATGCGCAATGAACATTCGTTTTCACGCTTTACATAGAAAAGCAGGAATGCCAATTTGTAGCTAATCGAATTGTAATCTATAATAAAATGAATACTTGATGCATGAGCATTTTTTGGCTACAAAATTACTGTGATCAAATGTGCATGAAATGCGCTTACTTTCTAGATCCTTCACCAGTCATGTCGTATCGTCTGGTCTGGAACAGTGTCGCCGGATGTTCGGTCTGCTCTCTCTCAGCTCGTCTTTCAAGCAATCAATCATAGCTGTCTAGCAAAAAAATAATGAAACAGCTTCTACATGCGTTGAGCAAGAATGAGTATACGATCCAATTTAAGTGTCCATACACCGGTAACTTAAGTGCGACGATTATATTAAGTAATATAAGTGAGAGTTTCACTTTTACTGGTTCATTATGAGATACGTACTGGAGGTAGTCTAGGGCCGTAAGCTAATATTAGTAGGCTCGGTCGCGCAGCATATATGGTCACACTGTATAGCGGCCCTAGTATATAGTGCCTAGAGACTACAGTAGATTAATGACATAAAATATATGTCGGCCTGCTGAGGTTGCGTGCTCAGATATATATATGGCCGTCATATACGCCTGGTTTTTAGGTATTTGTTCGTGCCTTGACGCAGGCTCTGTTACTGTTGTGTTACGTTGTCTTTCAGCCGTACTCATATCACAGCGATACGTGCGGTGACTTGTGCTAAGGTATTGCCACGCGGCGCGGGTATTTCGTTATATGTCTATCATGCATCTAGTCGTATCGTACTGTGATTATGTCGTAATACAAACGTGCTTTCTAGTATCAGTGCGGAAATTAAGTGCACGAACAAGACAAACGAGTCTACTGCTTGTAGTTCTATAGATCAATAAATAGGCTGATGGATTCAAAATATAACTTGGTTATTTTGTAGGATAAATTTTATTACGCCAAGAAGATGTCAAATTCCGCTGCCGGTCAGATACGTCTTCACTAAGTTTGAGAATTTAGCACGGAAATAAATATACCGATAGGTGGCGGTTTAAGCTCACTTGTTGAAACATTTTTTAACTTTTTTTTTCATTGAGTATATCCATAAATTTACATGTGTGCGCATAACAACGAACTTCTATATAAACTGGTATATACTCACAACAATTATTTTAATAGAAAAAATATATAATAGCATATACTGTATAATATAGTATAAATATATATCAAATATATAATATATATAATAATATATATATAATATATAATTATATATATATATTATATATATATTTATTTATTTATACATATATATATAGTAGTATAATATATATATATATATAGTTATATAATATATAGTAGCATAGCGGCATTGGCCCAGAACCGGCCCATAACGGCCGCTGCAGTAGCGATAACGTCTCGACGGTACTGGCCCAATACCGTGCCAGCTAACTTGCCCGGTATCGGCCCGCTTAGATGAGCCGGTACTGGGCCAGTACCGCTGAAACGTTACCGTTACCAGCCAGAATCGGACCAGCATTGGGCCAGTACAACTGAGCCATTAGCGGTACTGGCCGGTACGTTCCAGAACAACGCCAGCATTGCACCCAATACTGTCATGTTTGCTGGAGGAGTATGAGTTGCATATCATCATGTATATACAGTAAAAAACCGCGTATAAGAAGCATAGATTTTAAGAACATGTTAGCTAAAATTTTCGCATTTAGACGCCCTTTACATAAGAACCTGTTTTAGGCTAAGATTTTAAAGTAGGTTCTTATTTTCCATGCAGATGAACATTAAAAAGAAAGCACAAGGTAAAAAAAAAAGACGAGCTCAACAATATCGGATGCAATAACAATGCCAATGCCAATGCCAATGCTCAACAATAACAATGGCAGCACCCTGGCATGGTTATTGAGACACCAGTACTGCATTATTTACATATACAGTAAAAACCCGCATAAAAGAACACTTACACATAACACTACTGTACTGGTAACACATGCATCACAGTCACTAAGCCCGCGGTAGCGCGGTTTCAGCCTAGTAGTAGTTACATATTTAAAAGTAAAACAATTAAGAACCTATTTAAGAACGCTTTTGAGCCTAATTTTTCAGTAAGCACCATTTATATAAGAACATGTTGAGGCTAACTTGGAAAAATCTATGTTCTTATACGCGGGTTTTTACTGTATATGTTCATGGCAGCTGCATTACAACTGTTATAAGGAAGCAAACTCCACGACAGATAGCGCCTCGCTCTGGCTCAATTCTACTATATCCTGAGTGTGGAGGGGCACTGCATGCAGTTTGATCAGGAAGAAGCTTAAATGTGTAATATAATACATTCCAAAACTGTTCACATATATCTATTGTGATAACTGCATAATAGATTAATACCAGTGCACATTAATAGTTTTATGCGCTCTTGCCGCCTTGGTGTCTTTATTTTTTATCTTAGAAGAGAGAAGATGGAGAGAGAGAGATCGAGAGAGGGTAGAATAGGATTTATTTACCTTGAATATGCATCATGCATGTTACAGCATACTTCAAAGATTGTGCGTGAATCCTGGACTGCAGGTCAATTCAATATATAGATGCTCTGCGTATATTATAATCTACGAATGTGTGAAGTAACAGATGCCTATTCAATAAGTTATTGATATGCAATAATAGATTCCAACAATTGACTTATTGACATACTTTTTTGGTTCCGCTCAAACGAGGTCGCCACTGCGCGAATGACGTTTCCAATGAACAGAACAAGTGTACATCATAAGCTGTCTGGAAGATAAAGGAAATAATTCTGCCTTAAAAATGTCATATGCTTACCTTTCAAGTATATTATCATCGAGACACAGGTATATAATCGGTTTATAGTATTTAATGGCAGTACAGTGCGCATAAGAATTGTGGTGATATTATTTCCTACGTTTGTTGTTGTCTCGTCTTATTCGTTGTTGTTATGTCATGTTGATTCGCATTCATCGAACATCGTCATAATTGTTTACAGATTAGATATTATTATTACTACTAATACTAGGCCCCTACTGAGTACTAAATAGTAATACTGTCATTACTGGTAACCTCGTAGTCTGCGTTAATAATAGTCCTTCAACGTCCAAGGTACTGTATCGAAGATGGAAAGAGAAAGGTAGTCAAATAGACATGCAACACTGGGATCACAGTACTGTCAGTAGAAAAAGGTCAAAATTTGCAATTTTAATTCGAATGACAGAGAAACAAAGAGCTAAACTTGGAAGGGAACTACAGGTCGAAAAAAATGCGATATTGGTTAAAGCTATTATTTCATCATCATTGTATACCGGTATATAAATGCACAATCTAGAAAAAAATGTAGCAAAATATAGAGTCACCTATATTGATACTTAGTCACGAGTGATAAGTCACTTATTACAGCTCATAGGGTCTATGTCCCCGAGGTTACTGCCGGAACGTAACCCTGGTACGGTTCGTATACCGAACGTACCCTGGTCACTATTTGATATGGTTAGGGTTAAGATTAGGGTTAGGGTTAGGGTTAGGATTATTCCAATTAGGGTTAGGGAGTAGGCGTAGGCGACTCCCTAGACTCGTTAGTGGAGTAGGCGAGGTACGGTTCGGCATATTAGATAGTACCAGGGTACGTTCCGGTATACCGGGCCGGACCCAGGGTACGTTCCGGCAGTACCCCGGGGGACATAGACCCTCTCAGCCTTATTACACCAACTTGAAGAACCTTAAGAATTTCTGCTGTTAAAAGTGTTATAGCATAGAAAGTTGCAATTGGACACGTAACACCGCCGAATATTTGATTATCATTATAGCGACAATTTACAAATGACGCCTTCGAAACAATTGCACTTAATTCAAACAAAGGGGCATCTGATTCTGTACCAGGGCTCTTGATTCTGTGTAGTGAAAACTATTATCGCGACAAAGTCTGATATTCACAAATGGCGTCTTCAAACCAATTGCACCTAATTCAAACAAAAGCGCATCTGATTCTATACAAGGGATCCTTGGTTCTGTGTATTGAAAATTATTATCGCGACAAAGTCTGATATTCGTGAGAAATGGCAGCAGAAATCACAGGCACTTCCGTTCGAATGTTTTAATAATAAAATGATGGTAAATAAACACATAATGTATTTACTACCAAAGTCTTAATGTTTCTCTACTGTCGTTCACCTATTATTAGTAATAACTTTCTGTAAATGCCATTGAAATGCTTTTCTGCAGTACACCGTACACCGCTCCTGTGCACAAACAACAAAAATATAGAGCAGGTGGGTAAGCGTGAGCACAAAATTCGCACAATGCTCACTTTGTTTCACACCATCACAGCACAAATACACAACCAACAGCCTCCATTTTGGTATTTATGCGTAGCTAAATGTTCATTTGTTCGAATTAAAATAATTTTGCTATTTTGTACTGGACATGCACACTTTACTCCGAGAGATCTGGTGAATTCCTGCAGAAAACTCCCACTCCACTGAAATGTAAATGGGAGGAAGTGCCTGTTTATAATGCGAAACCCCCTAACTGCACTAATCGATTGTTTGGCCAATGAACATAGAACGTGTATGACATCATTCCCTCGCGAATTATGCTAGCTTGGCTTGGCAGGCCTCGAGATAGAGCTCGGAAGTGGGGACGCTTGAACCCAGAATGCACTTACTTGCATACATGTACTTGCTCCCATTTACATTTCGACGGAGTGGGGGTTTTCTTCAGGAATTTACTTGATGTCTCTTATCTGATCTTGCATTACAAAATGGCAAAATTATCATTTGAACAAGTGAACAATTTAGCTACGCAAAGATACCGAAATGAAGGTTGTTGTTTAAGCAAATTTGGCGCTCACGCTTTCCCACCTGTTCTTATCTTACAATTTTGTTGTTTGTGGACAGCGGCATTCAGGGCTCGAATTAAGCGACGAGAAGGGCAAGGCAATTTTTTTAGGGCATGTGAGAAATCGCCTTGAATTTTCTCTAAAATAGAAAGGCACCAAGGCAACTCTCAAAATTTGAGAAGGGCACCAAGGCACTTTTGTAAAATAAAGGAAAACTCATAACAAATTAGTACATCAACATCGTCTTGCTTTTAATGTACAAAACAATATGCCCCATGTAAGCTTACACCGTAACACTGACCCCTGTACCCAAGTACAGTAACAAGAAATTTTACATGCCCGCTATCAGGAGCAAATAATTATCCGATGCCGTTATTATTCCCTTCTGCGACTATCGGTTTATATCTCATCATTGCAACTACAGCACGCACGCGCACGTGTTATGTTGATTCGACTAAAAACAAAACTAGGGCAGTAGATTAAAGGGCACCGACGGCAATTAACACAAAAGGGCAAGGCGAGTGACTGCCGTCGGTCGGGTTGGATTTTCAGGGGCAGTACGGCGATTGATAGGGGCACCGACGGGCAATTGCGCGTCGGTGCCGTCGGTTAATTCGAGCCCTGGCGGCATTCATGCGGTGAAAGTGTGTTGCGGAGGCTGCATTTCAACCACAATTTTAGCCAAAGTTATTACTAATAATAGGAGAAAGAGAGTAGAGAAACAAAGATTTTTGTAGTAAATACATTGTGTTTATTTACCATCATTTTATTATTGAAAAGTTCCAGCGGTGCCTGGGGTTTGCACTGCATGTGTATCTG